GTCTAAGAACATCGCTAATTCATCCATCTTCCTTTGCTCATGTGAGGGAGATACAAGAATACAGATTGACGAGATGGATTTTTTCGATGAATGGAAATCTCACGTACGCCGTGACTCCAACCCTCTCTGCTTGATTCCGTCCGGAGAAATTCCCGGAAAATTCTCCGACTCCGATTTCCAGATACTCTTCTCGTCTCCATCTCTCTGCCCTCCTCTTCTCTCTCCTCTCCCTCACCTCTCTCTCCCGCGCTTCCTCTCTACCGCTGCCGCCGTCCCTCCTTCGGCCTCTTCCTACATAGCCGCCAAGTTTGGCCACATGAATCCCCACGAAGACGCTCTCCCGATGCTCTCTTACAATCGCCTCCAGATCCTTCCTTGCCCGGGTAAAAAATCCGTTTTGGTGTTCTTCCCGACCGGTATTAACTGTGACCAAGTTGGGTTTTTGGTTCTTTCTGTCGGAGATTCGGGTTTTCGGGTTGTGGGTTCGGAAGAACGCGACGTTTTGGTGGCAAAGGAGCGATTTTTTTCAAGGATACTGAGGATATTGGTGAAACCAGTTGATGAATCGGACGATTCTTTTGGTAACTTAGGGTATGTAATGGTTTACACTCTGTATTCTGTGCATTGGTACTGTGTCAAGCACGGTGGGTCAGAGGAAAAACCGGTTTTGAGATACCTAGGATGTAAGAGGTTTAAGAGTTGTTCGATAGCGAGTGCTTCTTGGAGCCAGCATTTGCATGGAGAATGTCTGGTCCTGTTAGAAAACGGTTCGATGTTCCTGTTTGACGTAAGTGAGGAATCAAACGGTTATTTCTGCGGCAATAGGGTCAAGGTTCCATGGGGAGATCAAAATAAATCTGAGAAGTGTTGTTGGTTGGGTTGTCAGTTCAGTTGGCATCCGAGGATATTTATCGCAGCTCGATCAGACGCGGTCTTCCTAGTTGATACAAGGTCTGATAAATGCAGTTTGACACGTTTAATGGTTTCTTCATGTCGAACAGAACAATTCCTTACATTTTCTAGCTCAGACACAGAGGGTTTCCAGTTTATTCTGGCTTCTCGTAGTCTTCTATTTCTCTGTGACGTTCGGATATCATTATCCCCTCTGTTGCAATGGTCTCATGATGTCTCAAAACCATGTTTCATCGATGTGTATAGCTTGTCTGAACTGAAGTTAGGGACAGAATCGGATAAGCGGGCTGATGGATCATGCATTATACTGGGATCATTATGGAATTCAGAGTTTAGCATGTTTTACTGTGGATCTTATACTTCAGCTGATGAAGAGTCTGATGTTCCAAGAGTTGGTAACGATTCAGGGTCGTTGTATGTACAGGAGCTTCCTTGCGGTTCCTTCTTTTCTGGCCAGTGTTCTTGTGGGGATTGTATTTTGAGAGAAAATATTATGAAGGATACTTGTCATGATTGGATCGATTGGCAAAAGAAGAAAGAGATCATTCTGGGGTTTGGTGTTTTAAACAAGTTTCTTCAGCTGAACTCGGATCAATTTCCTGGATTTACGTTCATCAGAATAACATCTTCGGGAAAGCTTGAAGTGAACACTTTTCGTTTCTCCTGGGATTCTTTAACATATATGAAAGAAGCTCACGGACATTTGCCATGTGAATCTGACAAGGAAAGCTTACTCTACCTCACAGATTATGGTGAATACAAGTTTCCGAAACGCTTCAAATACCTTGAACTCGATTATATTTGTGCTTACATGAACGGTAATCTTGCTGAGTTATTAGATTCAAGGATGAGAACATCTTCCTCAGGTTCAGGGAAGGAAAAACCTTTTAGCCTAGAAGCTCATGAGGCTTTGTGTGAGAAGTTGAAGATTTGTGGGTTCGGTAGAGACAGAATTTCTCCGGCCATTGCTGCAGTCTTTGATGGCATTAGGTCACCAACGAGCATTTTCGAGATTGCTTTGAAGCAAACCTGGGCGTCCCTTCCTACTGAGCTTTTGCTGTTGGCATATTCAAACTATTCTGAGTTCCAAGATGTCTTGCTAAACTTGAAGAGAGTATCACTCGAATTCCTTGTTGTTCCAGATCTCCCTCAGTTGCCACCTTTCCTCTTAAGGAAGCCTTCTTGCCGGAGTAGCAAGTGGACATGCAAAAACCTACCGACTGATGAGCTCGTTGGTCCTGTCCTTCCACTCCCTGTTCTTCTTACACTTCACGAGATCTGTAATGGAAGCCTGAATTCACAGGAAGACCCATGTGGGTTTTCACCAGAGGCAGAGTTCTCTCATCAATGTGATCAGGTTTCTCAAGTTGCTAGGGACGTGGTAATCTTCGGGTCTGATTCAGAAGTTGTTCAAAGAGACGAACACAAGTCCATTTCACTTGGCGATGACCATGATGATGCTAGGGATGATAATTCCCAGAAACAGAAACCCTTTATTGCATATCGTCCATTTACTGGGAGTTCTGCTTCTGCATGTGAGGACGGAGCATTTTCCATGTTCATTTCAAGAGTGCAGGGTAAAGAGTCTGTTGTTGAAGATAAGATGGGGAGTGTAGGGCCTGAGCTGTTTGATTTGTCGCCCGTCATCTTGGAGTTTGAACACCGGGATCTGAATTTTAATTCACAAGAACTTGGCAAAACCGATTTGCATAAGTTTGAGGTGCAATTCTCTCAGTGGCAAAATCAGTTTACTCCGTTTCAGGAGTTCCTTTCTCAATACAATCTCCAAATGTGAAGTCAACACACAAAAATTCGTCCACAGTCTACCTCCTTTGGGTTGTTTTTGGGGGTAGAAAGTTATTTCTGTTCCTCATCATTGTATGCATACAACAAAAGAGCGACTGAATGGTTGAACACATTGAGCAGTTTCGGTCATGGTTCTTCATGCTCGAGTGACATATAGAAGAGAGGATGGATATCAGAATGGACAGAGGGGTGCAGCAACTTCCAAAGGTATTTTTTTTATGGTTCTGTTAACAACTCTGCCACCTTCATCACCATTACCAGGTTTTTCTTCGTGTTCTTCAGCCTTTTGTATGCATTCTTAATCTATCCGGGGTTGATCTTTAAAGAACATTGTTTCAGGAAAGAAAGAATCGACCAGCTGAATCTCCATGATGATGATGATGGAGGCGACAAGAGCAGACCTTTGGTTATCCTCAGACACATATTCCTTGCAGAGTTATTATCCACCAGGCGGCAATACTTGAAAGGTTAGATCTTTGTCCATTCAAAGTAGTGTTCTTGATACAGTCTCTCAAACGCTTGAATATCTGTGATGTTTTCTGAAAACAGGAGCATGAGGATAGTAAATCTCTGTTTCAGGATTCGGATGAACACTTTCGAAGCTCTGAAGCGATGGAACTGCGGGTAGTCAGATGAATGTTTCCACGGTCAAAGCTGAATTCTTGCGAGGTGAATCCAGTCCAGTCATTATTGAATCTTTTTATCTTCGGTATATACGGTTGTTTTAGTTCTGACACAATCTGTCTTGCAGTATGGCCGCCCGGAATGATGTAAAAACTAGTGACTAAGGCGATCTGAAATCGGGATGAATCCGGAAAGAGAATGCAGAAGCAGCGTTTTCTGCCAATCCGCCGGGATTATGTTTAACCTTGATCAAGGGGAGAGCCGAGGAGAAACTTACAAAGGGTCTCTCACCATTGAGGACCATGTTTTGCTAATCGTCCTCTTACATCTGAAACATTCACTTTCCAGATGCTGTTCTGTTCTGTTCTTTGTTGATCTGTCTTCATCCTTTCTGCAGTTTTGATTCTTTCATGTACTACTCTGTTCTTTATGTAAATATATCATTATGCGGCCAAATCTGTTTCGTTTACTTCCTTTGATTAAAAAAAACTATATTTAATAATAAGATTTGTAAAATGAATTTGATTACTATCCTCTTCAAATGTAATTAATTCAAGACCTGCTTATAAATAAAATTATCAAAAAAATCTAATCCATAATGTTTTAAAATAGATGGAACAGAAAAATCTGACGGGAATATATACCAACTAGAAATAACAATAAGCATCAAGCTGGTCTATTACGGAGTTCAGGAAACAAGCTTTGGAATATAGTGATAATCAATCAAAAGTCTAAAACCAAAAGAAACAGTTTATTATCCATTAACCGAACCAGGGGCACACTTCATGTGTCGATCTTCACATCCACGTCCCTCGAACCGCCGGTGCGTCTGTTCTCGACTTCGTCGAAATGGTCCTCCCGGGCGTTATCAGCGAGCATTAGAGCGACTAACCAGAAAAGGCACGAGTCGAGGGACACAAAGGCGCCGCCACCGAGAAGTCCCGTCTTGGCCGTGGGGCAATCGGTTTCCATGTTGCGGTGGATGTTGCGGCTCAAGTGGAATTGCTCTGTGAGTGTTGGCCATAGCAACAGGGACAATGCCAGTCCCGATGTTATCCTGTGAACCCATGAACAACTATTTACAGTACCAAATCCAAACAAATATCTACAAGAAATCATATTATAGAGGACATCATCTACTACTGAAAGGTGATTGGATCCTCCAGTATAGAGAATCCGATTTCGGGTATGTTTCTGAAACGGTGAAACTAAAACAAGTTGGGGAAAGGATATTTTGCTTACAAGGCAATGTTGAAGAACACTGAGAAACTGGTGCTTTTGAACAGGACAGAGCAAGGAACAGACTTTCCCTTGTAAGACATGAACAAAGACTTGTACCCGGCAGCAGTACTCGCCACAAGAAACGCGGCGGATAAATACCCCAAGACAACAGTCGGATCAGACGGATACTTGCAGATAACGACCCCTTTTCCGCTTATCGGCGTTCCAGATGCAGGCTGCGTTTAAACCATGGGAGAAGAAAGGAACTCAGTCACAATAACATTGACCGGACAAGAAAGAGAAACAAAAATGGGTTTTCGAGAGGGTACTTAAGCATCCATATCCACTGATAGATGGTGATTTACAAGTCATTACGAACCAGATTTTAGCCAATAATCAACCCATCACTATTTGCTATTTTTGAATCCTCTGGTGATGTCAAAGCTAATCGGTGATCAGATTTAGGCTTTTGATGATTAGCCCCACAGATAGTGAATAATCAAAAACTCAATTTCTTATCCTATAAAGTATAAACGAATAGGATTGAATTATTGCAGACAATTAAGGACTCACAAAGTCCCAACACTTCTCAGGAATCGTCAAAAGCTCATAGCTGATTCATCTCAGTTCTTTTCCAGGATCGTTATCATGAATTAAACAACGAAATGAATGCAAAATCAATTTGAATTTTGTGAAAATCACACATAACGAAAAAAGAGAACCGCAAACAACAATCAAAACCATCCGAGGCAAACACGAAAATATCAGATGAACCCACAGTGGACCTCAAGGAGATATGACGACAATATAACACGAAATTAGGTTAAAAGGACAGGAACAAACAGATCATTACCTTCTTATTCTCCGCGATCACTCCGAACACAAACGACAAGACACCAAACGCAGACACAATCAGCGACATCTGTTTCATACTGATCGCCATTTTTCCCCCTCTTCTTCTTCGTATTCTAGGTCACCGATCACGCAATTTACTCTTCAAAAATTCCCAAAACAGGAAAATTTTCGGATGCAAATCCCATTCAACTCAAGGCTCAATGGATGAAACCGAAATAGAACAACCACGTAGAAGAGAAATTCTCACCGAGAAGACGAATCTGAGATCGGGGAAGAGCGAAAACCAAGCGGTGGATTTTGATTTCGATGTTGATGTATAACTACTTACACTTGGGAAGCTAAGATTTCGGATGAGGTTACGAAAGTCTTCGGATTCGCAGAGGATATAATTTTAGCTTTCATTAGGATTCTGTTGACTTTTTGGATTCTGAATATCTTTATTTTTTTTATAATTTTATATTATAAATATTTATTTTAAGATATTTACATTTGAAAGCGTCACGTTTGCCTTGTACAAGAACCCATCCCCCACATTTTAATACGAACCTTTAAAATATCATATTATATGGTTTTGAACCAATTTAAATATTTGCTGATAACTCTATATGGTACTTTTGAGATATTCGTATCCGTTTACAATCTACATAAATATTTCATTTTATTATCCGTATTGATACGTAATTTTCGAATATTCAATTACCAAATCCGTAAAAAATTACAGATATTTATGAATATTTATATCTAACATAAAATACTATAAAAATTTTGAATTTAAAATTTAATAACAAACTCAAACGTAAATAAAATTCATAATTTATTTAATATAAAATAATATTCATAATTTAAATCGATTCAATTGCAAAAACAATCATAATCTATCACATATAAATATATTTAGAGTTCAAAATTTAAAAGATTAAACATAATAAATCTTAATATTCAAAAGATTAATCATACTAAATCTCAATATATATAAAAGATTTTCTGATTCTCTTTAAAAATCGTGTAATATTAGAAATTCTAAATCTTCAAACTAAATTATTTTTATATTTAATAATATTATTAAAAGTACAAATCACATGGATATATCGGATAATTCGATTTTGATAATTGTATACGATAATTATTTCAAAATAAATATTTGTAAACTTCGAATATCTAAATTTTCAATTCGGATAAGAATAGAATAATGCATTGATTTGGTTTTTTTGAATTTTATGATCATCCCTATGTCCAACTATTTGCCAAAGACTACGATTTTTATCCGACCCATCCAACGTGGAATAACCCATATATTTCTAAAGCAAAAAGTGGGGTAGAAAATATATGAATGAAACTAAAATTAAGAATGACAAAATGGATAACAAAAATTTCTTATATAGAAATTTAATCTAACTTTATACAAAGAATAATTATGCAATCATAAATCTATATAAATAAAGTAGTCAATAAAATCAACAGATTCTATGAATGATATGAGAAACACTTAACCAAACTTCCCTCCACCAAATTCACTATAAAAAAAAAAAAAAAAGTTGATGCATGTGTGAGTGCAAAGAAATGGTTGAATGCATCTATCCAAAAAGGGGAAAACTTATGTATTAAGTAATTTATAGGGGTCAGAAAAAAAATCAAAACTTCTCAATTTTGGGATTAAAAAAATCAGGTATTAAATAATTTTAAACTAAGTTCGATTTTTTCTTCTAATTTCTTTGGTCACAAATCTCTTGTATTAATTTATCCAAAATGTTTTATGGCTTTATTGGAATAGTAAGGCTAATTAAAAAATAATCATTCAAAATATACACCCAATGAAAAAAATAGGATACATGTCGTGTTCATGTTAAAAGAGAAGTGAGGATATAATATTTATTTTACAATTTTTGACTCCGAGATTCTAATATATAAAACGAATTTAAATTATTCCCGAAAGATGATATATTCATTTAGAAAAAGTTATCTTTATTTTGCGCGCTTCATTTCCTTCAAATGCCGCTTGTATCCTTATATATTTTTGTGTACTCATGATTGCGTTCTAAAAATTATTCCTTCAATTATTTATTTATTTATTTTATCACGAAATCATAATATTTACATTTAATCTAACTTTTTTAGTAATTTATGGTTCATTCAAACTTGTTTAAGTAATTTGTAATTGGTATTGATAGACTCAACTATTAAAAAAATAAAAATATTGATTATAGTTAAAAAAAAAACACACTTCACAAAAACGGGTTTTTTAAGTACTTTAGAGTTTAGACAAATTTCCTCTTCTTTTTTCTTTTTTCTTTTGCTTTTGCTTTTTTTTTCAAATGAAAAACTTTGCAGGATAAATGGCCATCTATAATAGGCCCAAAAAAAATTATGGAGGAAAAAATTATGGTATTTTTTGGATCCAAACGAAAGATATTATTTTTAGAAAACTGAATTTTTCGAAATCGAATCGAAACGAATAGAATTTAACAAAAATCTGAAAAACCGAATTTTCTTTAAAAAATATATGTTTTTTCAATAAAAACCGATGGATACATTCTCATCTCAAAACTCCCATCCCTATTCCCTACCCAAGGATGAATGTACCTACTCCCTTTTAAAAAAAAAAATTAAATAACATTAGAATAATGTAAATATCTCCCTTTAATTTTTTTAAAAAAAATAATAATAAGAGCATCACGTACGTAACCCAGTTGCTCAAACTTTCAAGATTCTTCCTTTTACATGGGATGATATTTGAAGACCTATACCTAAACGACCATTTTTTGTATTATTTTTTATTTAGTTTCATCTGCATCATATGTTATCCTTTTTCTTGCTTTCATTTCATACATGACCAGACAATAAAAGTTAAGACATTTCCATTGTCCGATTTCCGGCAAAGCTCGTGTAGATTTCCCACATCAAGCTTCGTATATTTTGCACGATCCTTCTCTCTTATTCTTTCCTTCTCTCCCACAACTTCTTCTTCTTGAATCCATCTACAAGTATCAATAATTATATTCAAGATCATTCTGGTTTCTCATACACTCTTACAATTAAACTGTCAAAATCCATCATTGTTCATAATTCCCAACTGTTCCTCGTCAAGTCGAAGCTTCGCGCTTCAGTTCCAACTGAATCTCTCACTACAGCTCGTTTCTACATCAAAGCTCAGTTTTTTCCATCTGGGTTTACGTCTTTTTTGATCCGATGTTGTCGAAAAGAGTGGCTGTGTTCTTCGCCATCGGCGCTTTGTTGTACGGAAACGGGTGGGTTAGTGTCGGAGGCATCGGAGTGAACTGGGGAACTCAGGCGACTCATCCTCTGCCGCCGGAGACGGTGGTGAGGCTTCTCCGTGACAACGGTTTCCAAAAGGTGAAGCTTTTCGAAGCCGACGCGGCGATCCTCAAGGCGCTTAGCCGGTCGGGGATTCAGGTCATGGTCGGAATTGAAGATTTTATGGTTTCGGAGATTTGAAACAGGAGATAATAGAGATCCAAAGGACCAAGAGTAAAGAGAATCGATTAGGGTTCTTAGAGGAGTTTAGAAAAACATTCTCTGTTATTGTGCTTTACTTGTTCGTGCATGAATATATACAGACAGACATAAACGGCTATTTACAAAATTATTAATGGTAAATGAATATGTCATGCATGATAAATGGAAAGGTATCAATTATTCTTGAACTTTTCCTGATTTGGTCGTTGATGGAGTTATAAGTGATTTACTTGCCATTTGTGCAAGCCTTCAGTGCAACGAATCTTCAGTCCGAGTAAACTTGTCGGAGTTGGTCTTTGAGTGTGCCTTCTCGCTCAAGTCACCGAGTATGTCGTGATTTAATTGTCCTCCAACATTCCCCCTCAAGATTGGTTGGTCGATTTCGACTAAGCCAATCTTGGAGAGACAATGATTTAGAACATATGAGCTGGTTGCCTTAGTCAAGACGTCGGCTAGTTGGTCTTTGCTTCGGGTGTACATTGGTGAGATGACTCCGAGTGTGATCTTCTCGCGGACAAAATGGCAGTCCACCTCGATGTGCTTCGTCCGTTCGTGGAAGACGGAATTAGCGGCAATGTGTAAAGCCGCCTGATTATCGCAATGCAAAGGGGTGGGCTGTGTTGTATTGATGCCAAGGTCGCGGAGTAGTTGTCGTAACCACACAATCTCGCTTGTTGTATTTGCCATTGCTCGGTATTCGGCTTCCGCACTTGACCGAGCCACCACACTTTGTTTCTTACTTCTCCATGTGACGAGGTTTCCACCGATGAAGGTACAAAACCCCGTTGTTGATTTGCGGTCTGTCCTGTCGCCGGCCCAATCCGCATCACAGTATGCTATGATCTGAGTGTGTCGATTGTTGTTCATCCGCATGCCTTTGTTTGGTGTCCCTTTAAGATACTTCAAGATACGGTCGACCATGTGCCAGTGATCCATCCGAGGGGCGTGCATCCATTGGCTAACCTGATGCACGGCAAAACTTATATCAGGTCGAGTAATAGTAAGGTAGATTAGCTTACCGACTACACGACGATATTGTTCCGGGTCGTGATACGGTTCCCCCTGTTGTTGATCTTTGAAATGCTCCTCTATTGGTGTGCGCACCGGTTTAGCTCCGAGTTTGCCTGTATCGCGTAACAAATCCAGAATATATTTTCTTTGGGACAGAAATAAACCGTTAGTAATACGAGAGACTTCAATACCAAGAAAATATTTTAATAAACCCAGATCTTTAATGTCAAATACTTGCTGTAAATATTGCTTTGTAGCTTGTATACCGTCAGTGTCACTCCCTGATAAAATGATATCGTCAACATACACGAGAAGAACAACGATACCCGAATTACCGTGCATTGTGAAAAGTGAGTGGTCGGAATCACTTCTTGAAAAACCACGATCGACGAGAGCATGATAGAGTTTATGATACCACGCCCTCGGGGATTGCTTCAAGCCATAGATGGATTTACGGAGACGGCACACTTCACCCGGTTTTGTCTTTGTATATCCAGGAGGTGGTTTCATGAAGATCTCCTCATCAAGATCACCTTGTAGAAAGGCGTTTTTGACGTCCATCTGCCACAATTGCCATTGAAGATTGACAGCCAAGGATAATAGAACACGTACCGTAGGGAGTTTTGCAACCGGGGCGAAAGTTTCGGTATAGTCTTCTCCATAGGTTTGAGTGTACCCTTTGGCGACTAAACGAGCTTTATGTCGATCAATCAAACCATTACTAAGGTATTTAATTTTAAAAATCCACTTACAACCCACAAGTTGTTTTCCCGGCGGTAGTGTCGTGATCTCCCAAGTTTTATTTTTTTCGAGAGCCGAAATCTCGTCGTCCATCGCACGTCTCCATACAGCCTCTGATTTGGCTTGAGAGTATGTGGTTGGTTCTTCCCCCTGTTCTATGATACTCAAAAAGGTTCTTTCATTAGGTGGAAATTTATCAAGAGATGAATACTTATCAATCGGGTGTGCAATGGCGGTGTGAGATCCATGCGTTTGTTCTTTGATTTTCCAGGTCGGTCTTCGGTCTCTAGTGCTTCGTCGAAGCTGATTTTGATTGGATGTCAACTGATCAGGATGTGCATGCATGTAGATGGTTGGTGTAGGGTCCAAGTCATCATGCAAGTGTCTAGGGATTTGTTCGTCCAAGGCTGACGTGGAAGGAATATTTGTTGGAGGTGTTGGAAAATTAAGTTCCCCCTCAAGAGAGTCATCGGTATCATGAGCCACATCCTGAACATCTTCGGGACCTGCAATGTTAGAAGGAAAAAACACATGTGGAGATGTAGAAGGAGGAATAGGAATACCGTCCGCGTGTAGATGAATGGAATCGTCCAACGTGGAAGAGACATCAGTGGATGGCCTTGTTGGTATTTGAACACCAAGATGACGAAGAGTGGATTGGAATCGGGAGATAGAATCACCATTATTATCGGTTCCTTGGGTTGCAAGCGACTCCAAAGCGGACCAACTCTTGTCATCAAAATATCCGATTTCCTCAATGAATCGAACATCTCGGGAAATGAAAGAACGACGACTTGGAGGGTGGTAACACACATAACCCTTTTGATTTGCGGGGTAGCCAAGGAAGACGCACCGAACACTTCGTGGATCAAGTTTTGTCCGTTGTCCTTCATCTATATGGGAAAAACAAATACAACCAAATACGCGTAGATGATCAATGGATTCTCGATGATTAAACAATACCTCGAATGGAGATTTATCCCCAAGAATTTGCGTAGGAAGACGGTTGATAAGGTAGCATGATACTTTCACCGCATCACACCAAAAGTGTTTAGGTACGTTCCGATGGAATAGTAATGCCCGAGCTACCTCCATCAAGTGTCGGTTTTTGCGTTCGGCAACACCGTTTTGTTGAGGTGTGTTCGGGCAAGAGCGTTGATGAACGATGCCTTCCTGAAGGAGATAGTCGCGAAAGCGGAAGCTCATGTACTCCCCACCGTTATCTGTTCGAAAACACTTAACCTTGACATTGAATTGGTTAGAAACAAATGCAATAAAATTTTTCGTAGCACAAAAGACATCACTCTTGAGTTTTAAAGGCGTGATCCAAGTATACTTGGATTTGTCATCGATAAAAGTCACGAAATATTTGTAGTTATCGCGAGAATAACATGGTGCGGTCCATACATCCGAGTGAACCAAATCAAAGACGTTATTATAAATAGTAGAGGAATCCGGAAAAACTGTCCGGCAGTGTTTTCCCAAAATACAAGCCTCACAATGAGAATCAAATGTCTTTACTTGTGGAACTAATAAACGAAAAACTTTAGCATGTGGATGGCCCAATCGTGCATGCCACATACTAGGCGAAATAGATAAGAAACTTGAATGTGGATCATCGAGATAATAAAGATTGCCCTTGCGTTTTCCTCGACCAAAAACAAGATCCGTGCTAGTATCCTGAAACGAGACACCATTAGTATCGAAAATAACACGACAAATAGTTTCCTCAACAAGTTTCGGTATGGACAAAAGGTTGGCGTGAAAGTCTGGGATAAAGAGGCCCGTAATGTCCCGATGAAAGATACGGATTTTACCATAACCTTTAATCGGAACATTTTTACCATTAGCCACCGAAACTACACCTTCACTTGGATATATATGTTCAAACCATGTTGGGTCACAAAACATATGGGTTGTCGCACCCGAGTCAATAACAATGGAAGAGTGCATAGAAATGTTACCGCTATCCTTGTTGAGGGATTGAAGAAGATGCTTAAGCCCTTTTAGCTCATCGGAGGTTAGGCTTATTGAGTTTTCTGTAGGTGTTGGATTCTCGGTTGCAGTCATTGCTGAACCTCTGCGAGGTGCATCCTTGTAGCGAGATGGTTTGAGATGCGGGTTCAGCAGCCAACAACGATCCTTCGAATGTCCCTGTCGTCTACAGAAATCACAGTAGAAGGACTTACGTTCTTTTGTCGGGGCTGACTGTGCCGATGGTTTCTGTGCATAATGAGCAAGCTCCATGGGTCCGGTGAAGTAATTACGGCCACCTTCCTCGCGTTTTATCATCATGCATATCTCATCAAACGTTGGCAGCTTTGTTTGACGTAGGACATGATATATAAGATCGTTGAATGATGGATTAAGCGTCGAGAGAATCGAGAACACTTTGTCTTCTTCAGCTCTTTCCATTACCGTTTTCGGATCGGTGGAGGTTGGCCGTATCTCATCCAATTCAGCCCATAAAGCACAAAATTCTCCTTGGATCTTGTTAAAAGGTTGGTCATTCTGTTGAAGGTGGAATAAACGCCTCTTCAATTCAAAAATGCGACTTACATTGGAGATGTTACCGTATATATTGCAGAGAGCTTCCCACAGAGATTTTGTAGTATCGTGGGCTATGAAAGATTGCAGCAGGTGTGGGTCCAAAGAACCTTGTAATATCACCAATGCTTGACTGTCATCTTGTCTCCATTTGTTGAATTCCAACTCAATCTGTTTGTTGCGTTGAATTCTTTGTTGAATCTGTGTCGGAGCTTCTCCTTCAAATGCCGACTCTTGCGGGGGAGAATTCCGTTTTTCGACTGCGACGTGATCCCATAAGCCTTTGCTGTTTAGGGCTGCGGTCGCCGCCTTCTTCCAATAAAAGAAGTTTTCGCCGGTCAAGGTAATCGGTATTATTTTTGTGTGAGAATCCATCGAGTAATGAACAAAAAACAGATGGTAGGGAAACAAAAGAGAAATTGAGAATGCAGAGGGGTCAATGACCTTTATGCTCTGATACCATGAAGATTTTATGGTTTCGGAGATTTGAAACAGGAGATAATAGAGATCCAAAGGACCAAGAGTAAAGAGAATCGATTAGGGTTCTTAGAGGAGTTTAGAAAAACATTCTCTGTTATTGTGCTTTACTTGTTCGTGCATGAATATATACAGACAGACATAAACGGCTATTTACAAAATTATTAATGGTAAATGAATATGTCATGCATGATAAATGGAAAGGTATCAATTATTCTTGAACTTTTCCTGATTTGGTCGTTGATGGAGTTATAAGTGATTTACTTGCCATTTGTGCAAGCCTTCAGTGCAACGAATCTTCAGTCCGAGTAAACTTGTCGGAGTTGGTCTTTGAGTGTGCCTTCTCGCTCAAGTCACCGAGTATGTCGTGATTTAATTGTCCTCCAACAGGAATCCCTAACGACATGCTCGCTTCTCTCGCCGGCAGTGTTGAAGCTGCTGAGAGATGGGTTGCTCAGAACGTTTCCTCTCATGTCTCCTCCAATGGCGTCGACATCAGGTTCGTGAAACTTGAAACCATCCTCGCTCTTGTCTTATCTGCTTGCTTCTTGAGACAGAATTACTCGTTGTCTCTCTGCAAAAGTTTTGATCTTTGTTTCAAGAACTTGGGAATTATCAGATTTAGCGAGAAAACGGATCTGGTTTTCTTTATGAGAATTCGGAGCTGACCTTCCAGTTGAGTTTAGGTTTTCTGGGTTCGGTTCAGAATTCGATTCCTAGACATGATTTGAGGAGAAAAATACACTACAAGACGGCCGGTCACCATTGATGAACTTGAGGAGAAAACTAGTTATGGTCTCTAAGAAAGTTGCAGTTTTTCTCGAGAAAAAAAAAACAGAACCCAGTAGTTGAATGATGATTCAGTTCAAGATTTCAGAACCGAGTTCACTTTTGAAGAAGATTGAATTCCTTTTCTTGTTTTTGTTTTGGCAATTAGGTATGTAGCAGTTGGGAACGAACCGTTTCTGCAGGCACTGAACGGGACATATCTGACAACAACTCTTCCAGCCCTCCAGAATATCCAATCGGCTCTGATAAAAGCCGGTTTAGCCACTCAGGTCAAAGCCACCATTCCCCTCAACGCCGACGTATACCAGAGCTCATCCAACCTCCCTTCCGACGGCGACTTCCGGCCCGATATCCGCGATCTTATGCTTCAGATCGTCAAGTTTCTGAACGATAACCAGTCTCCGATAACCATCAACATCTACCCTTTCATCAGCCTTTACAACGACCCGAATTTCCCCGTGGAGTTTGCCTTCTTCGACGGCGGATCTTCCGCTCCTATAAACGACAATGGCCGAATCTATGACAACGTTCTTGACGCAAACCACGACACCCTTGCCTGGGCACTGCAGAAGAACGGATTCGGGAACATGTCTATCGTCGTCGGGGAAATCGGGTGGCCGACGGATGGGGATAAAAACGCAAACTTGCAAAATGCAAGGAGGTTCAACCAAGGGTTCTTGAACAGGCAGAGAGCTGGTAAAGGAACTCCGATGAGGCCGGGGGCAATGGACGTTTACTTGTTCAGTTTGATCGATGAAGATGCGAAAAGCATTCAGCCCGGGAACTTTGAAAGGCACTGGGGAATGTTCTACTTTGACGGGCAGCCGAAATACGAGCTTACCCTCAACGGAAACGGGCTCGTTCCGGCCAAGGCAGTACATTATCTGGCTCGGAAATGGTGCGTGCTTTCGCCATCCGCGAATCTTGATGACCCTCAAGTGGCTCCGAGCGTGAGCTATGCGTGCTCACACGCCGATTGCACGAGCCTCGGGCTCGGATCCTCGTGCGGGAACATTGACTCGAGGCAGAACATCTCATACGCGTTCAATAGTTATTATCAGATCAGCAATCAGACCGAGAGCTCGTGTAAGTTCCCGGGCTTATCAGTGATCACAAACGTTGATCCTTCTGTTGGAGATTGTAAATTCAGGGTGATGATACAGACGGAAACCCTAGAATCTGGTGGCAGTAGTAAAGCAAGTGGCGCATTTCTTACACGACAACCTCAGCTGTTGATGATGTTTCTGTTCATGTGTGTGTGTCTATTGTCCTGTGAATATCAGTATTAAGTTGCTGTTTTTTTAAAACTCTGTTGTTGTTCATAGAGAATTAAAAAGGAGCATTGAGGATTTTTTCCTGCTTCTGATTTGTAAGGTGGCATTGTAGTGAATGTTTTGTATATCAATCTCAATAATTTATTTGACAATTATGTTGGACTGGATGTTAAAAAAAAAATATGGGTTTTGGGAGGGATTATAAATAAAAATTATTTTTTATTATCAAATAAAACTCAAAATGTGATTCGACCCGTCCGAAATCCTATGAAAATGGGTTTTGGAGTCTCAAACATAGATACGAAATTTTAACGGATCGGGCCGACCTGATCAGAAAAATTATAGGCCTGAGCTGAGCTTGATACGGGTCCAACATGGTCTGACCACCATTTTACATCTGTAATTTCGGGTATCCGAATCCAAACCGAATGATTATAATTTTTTTAGACTCGAAAATTAAATCTGAATCCAAACTGAATGAAAATAACTAAAAAAACCCTTAAATTTCTTTAAAAAATTGAATATTTTTACTATAACTAAATCGAAATATAAAAATGGAACCGTTATATATAATCGAATCCTTCGAAACCGAAACCGAATAAGCCACCTAGACGTCCGTTCCGTAAATCTTAAATTGGGCCGACCGGATCATATTGGGCCTAGTAATTGAACTGCTCATATTGGGCCGGAGATGTTTGGGCCTATTATCAGAAGGTGGGCTAGGTTTGCAGTTGAAGTGGGTTGTATTTTCATTGAAATATTTGTATTACATGTGATTACGACGTCGTCCGCTTTTTTGTCGCCTCCATCCACCGTCTCCTCACTCACGCTCCTCCTCCTAGGCTATATATATAAGCAGCCCGTCGCTTTGTTGTTGGGTTTTTTTTCTTCTCCTTGTTCCGTCTCTCTCTCGAATTTTCACGATCCTTCTGTCCAAAATTCTGGTATTGGAGTTTTGATTGATCGTCTGCTCCAGTTTTGTGCTTTGGAATCGTGTCGATAATGGATGCGGAAGGGCAAGGGCAAGCAGAGGTTCGTAATCCAACGGCGGAAGATGAACAACCGACGGAGGCGGCGTCCGGAGGAGCTTCCGGGGAAGAAGTAAGAGGAGAGCAGGACCGAGAAATGAGGAGCGCGGGTGACGAGCTTATTGAGAAAGCACAGAAGCTTATAGAGAAGATCACTTCCACTGCCAATAACCCTAGCCCTGCTATTCTCCATTCTCTCAGCAATCTCCTCGAATCGCAAGAATCTCTGTATGTCTCTCATTCTCCCTCCCTCTCTCTCTCTCTCTCTCTCTCTCTCTCTCTCTCTCTCTGGATGTATATATTTTGCTTCACAGTTGGTGTGACTTGACGAATGGTATTGGTTCCTACAGCTACATAGCGGAAAATGGGCATTCCTCTTCCAATGGTCGTGGTAGTCATAAGATTGGCAAGTTGTGTAACCTTATAAGGGTATGAAATCCGTCTTTTCATTCGTTGGTCGTTGTGCGTTGTTTCTTTCGTGGCTTTTTGGAGTCGTGACTTGTAATTCTGCGTTCCCTGTTGGCAGGATAATGATGAATTCTTCGAATTGATATCGTCAGTTTACTTTGAGAATACTTTCTCAACAGCGGTACAAGCAGCTTCTGCTAGGCTGCTACTGAATTGTTCGCTCACTTGGATGGTAAGGATACGTTATATTCTTGTTTCCAATCTTTTGTGTTTAGCTGTTTAGTTGGTTGATTATACTGTTGTGGTTTCAGTATCCCCACATTTTCGATGAATCTGTTTCGGAGAGCTTTAAAAGTTGGGTCATGAATGAAGCCGTCAAATTTCCGGGCGAATACCCGGGCAGGAAAGAAGTGTCGGATTCTGAAATGTTAAAGACTTATTCCACAGGGCTTCTTGCTATGTCTTTGCAAAGGTATTGATATCATCAGACTTGTCTCATCTCCTGCTTTTGTTGATCTGGTCGCTGAAGTCTAGCTTGTTTTTTTTCCATAGTGGTGGTCAACTAGTTGAAGATGCCTTGACATCAGGATTATCTGCCAAGCTTATGCGTTATCTTCGAGTACGGGTGATTGGGGAGACAAGCATGAGCCGGAGAGAGACCCTTCACTCTAAAGAACCCAAGCATGCATCACTAAAAGAAAGGGAAGAAGTGGGGAATCGGGTACGGAAGCTGGTGGATGACAGAAATTCAAATGATCATGCTATGGAGAGGGATATGGGCAGAGAGATGGGACAATCTGATGCTAGGCTTGAAGGTGAGGGGGATAGTGATGATGCGGAAAGATGGGATGTCTCAGGTGGCATTGATGATAAAGTGAAACCTGTAGATGATGATTTTGGAGGAGATGACCCTTCAAAACGCAGGCTTTACCGGTCAAAATCCAAGGGTAGAGGAAGGGTTAGTGAAGGCACGGCTGATAATGAAGTGGCATTGACCTCTCCTGGATCAGGTTGTCGTCGGGTTGTCAAGGAGAGGGGTCTGCCGAAAATTTCAGATCCGAAAATCACAGAAGAAAAGAGACGATGTCAGGGAAATATGAACTCTGGTGCTATGGACATAGAAAGAGAGGAGAATGACGAGTGTTTTCAAGGCTGCATTGTCGGAACCAAAGATATAACTGATTTAGTGAAGAAAGCAGTTGGAGCTGCTGAAGCGGAAGCTAGAGCTGCCAATGCACCTGCTGATGCTGTCAAAGCTGCTGGCGATGCTGCTGCCGAGCTCGTTAAAACTGCTTCTTTGGAGGTTTGTTATCTGATCAATCGGATTACAATGATTTCTATTTCTTTTCCCTCAAGATTATCATGTATGTCCTTTCCTTTGTAATTATCCAGGAATTTAAAGCCTCTGGTAATGAAGAAGCTGCTGTTTCTGCTGCTTCTCAAGCTGCTTCGACAGTGGTAGATGCTGCTATCGCTACTGAAGTTTCGAGGTTAGTGATGCTTTACCTTTTTGGATAATCATCTTGCACAGACTTCCATTTCTTGATTACAGTAGCTAATTACTAAGATGATATAATTTAAGGCTTTTAAATCTGTTTCGGTAGTAGGACCTCGAATTGCGCCCCTTTGGAGGAGACTACAAACCCAAATCGTGAGGAAACCGAGGCAGCTGATGATGTTGAGGAAATCTCACTTCCGGATATCGAATCCTTGGCCCTGTTACAGGAGAAATATTGCATTCAGTGCCTCGAGATTTTAGGGGAATATGTTGAGGTTCTTGGGCCGGTTCTACATGAAAAAGGGGTCGATGTGTGCATTCTGCTGCTGCAACGCAATTCCAAACGCGATAAATCCTCAAAAGTATCACCGTTATTACCTGATGTTATGAAGTTAATTTGTGCTTTGGCTGCACACCGGAAATTTGCTGCAATGTTTGTTGACCGGGGTGGAATACAGAAGCTACTTGCTGTTCCAAGGATTAATGAGACATTTTTCGGTCTTTCATCGTGCTTGTATACCATAGGCTCTCTTCAGGTAAATGAGAACTTCAACCAAGCTTACATTACTTGTGTTATATATTGTAAGGAAAAGTTTTCATGTTCCGTATATGATGTTCAGGGGATCATGGAACGGGTCTGTGCACTTCCCTCAGATGTTATTCATCAGGTGGTCGCCTTAGCTATTCAGCTTTTAGAATGTTCCCAGGATCAAGCCAGAAAAAACGCAGCCTTGTTCTTCGCTGCTGCTTTCGTCTTCAGAGCCATTCTAGACGGGTTTGATACTCAGGATGGTTTGCAGAAGTTTCTCGGGATTCTTAGAGATGCTGCCTCAGTTAGGACTGGCACAAATTCTGATCGGTCAGCTCCCGAAGTCTTGACGTCTTCAGAGAAACAGATGGCTTTTCACACCTGTTTCGCCTTGCGTCAATACTTTAGAGCTCATCTACTTTTACTCGTGGATTCCGTCCGGCCTAATAAAGGTAGTCGAGGTGGTGTACGGACTGTTCCCAGTATACGGGCTGCGTATAAACCGCTAGACGTCAGCAATGAAGCTGTAGATGCTGTCTTTCTTCAATTACAAAAGGACAGGAAGTTGGGTCCTGCCTTCGCGAGAATTCACTGGCCAGAAGTTAATAGTTTTCTACTGTATTCTGGACATGTTACCTTGTTGGAGTTGTGTCAGGTAAAAACCTATATTGTGTTTTATGCATGTACATCGTTTTATTCATCCTTGCGTTTTAACATTTTCCGGTCGTATTTGCAGACACCGCCAGTTGATCGTTATCTGCACGATCTGCTCCAGTATGCCTTTGGTGTACTTCACATTGTTACATCCGTACCTGCCGGCCGCAAAGCAATTGTTAATGCCAATCTGAGCAATAATCGTGTTGGCATTGCTGTCATCCTCGATGCAGCAAATATTGCCAACAGCATTGTAGATCCCGAGGTGAGCAATCGTTTTCCATCATTGTTGATTTGGATTTCCATCTTCTAGGTCTTGTTATTATTACATAACCTTTGTTTGTTTAATATATCTGTTATTGCAGACCATACAGCCAGCCCTGAATGTCTTAATAAACCTCGTGTGTCCTCCACCTTCAATCAGCAACAAATCCCATCTGCTTGCTCTAAGTCAAGTAGCGAGTGGTCCCGTTACTGAGACCAAGAAAGAAGATCGTAATATTTCAGACCGAACTGCAGATGTTTCTGCGGGCACTCAGTCCACCGCTACTAATGCTTTGCAAACTCCGTCATCGGGTTTGGTTGGGGACCGTAGAATATCCTTAGGTGCTGGAACAGGCTCTGCTGGTCTTGCTGCTCAATTGGAGCAGGTTTATCGTCAAGCACGACAAGCAGTTCGCACCAACAATGGTATAAAGATTCTTCTAAATCTTCTCCAGCCCAGAATATACGTTACCCCTCCCGCTAGCCCCGATTGCCTTCGAGCACTTGCTTGCAGAGTCCTTCTCGGTTTGGCTAGAGATGATGCAATTGCTCAAATATTGACTAAACTTCAGGTAGAATATTGAATTTATTGTTCCTGTTAGGGGTGGGTGTTTCAGTTCAGGTTTGGTTCCTTTTTGTTCGGATTCAGTTCTTTCAGTTTTAGAAAATCTATATCCATTCGAGTTTTATGTTATATTTGGTTTGGTTCGTGTTCAGTTCGGTTTCGGTTCATGCTTGAGTTTTAGTGATAAAAATACTTATTTTCTAAAGAAATTTACAGTTCGGTTATTTTTATATTCGGTTTGGGTTTGGTTTTCCAGTTATAAAATATGATAAACATTTAGTTTTCATATCGGGTTTGATTCGGCTATTATTATGTATTATTAGGTTCGGTTTGGTTTATGAATAACCGAATCAAATGCCTACCCCTAGTTCCCGTCTCTCTCTGTGTGATTGATTTTGTTGATGTGAGAGATAAGTTCACTGACTTTTTTAAATTGGTTTTCTAGGTCGGTAAGAGGCTTTCAGAATTAATCCGAGATTCAGGTGGGCAAACTGGGACGGATCAGGGCAGATGGCAAGCCGAACTTGCTCAAGTTGCGCTCGAGCTCATCGCGGTAAAAAATCAATCGGTTTTTGTCTTGTTTTATCGGAAAGTATATTTCTCGATATTAAGATTTTCATTTGTTTGCAGATAGTGACGAATTCGGGACGTGCCACCACATTGACGGCTACTGATGCGGCTACTCCGACGCTCCGACGGATAGAAAGAGCTGCCATTGCTGCGGCAACGCCTGTAACTTATGACTCGAAGGAGCTTCTTCTCCTTATTCACGAGCATCTCCAGGCATCTGGTCTTTCCGATAGTGCGATGGCTTTGTTAAAGGAAGCCGAGTTATCGCCTTTGCCTTCCTTGGCTCCTCCTTCTTCTATTGCTTACTCTTCTACTCAAGAGACACTTATACCTGTGGCTCAGCAACAATGGCCCTCTGGTCGTGTTAATGGCGGATTTTTCTTTACCAGCAAGCCGAAAGTCGGTGCAAATGATGAAGAACCTGGTTCGAGATGCAATCCAGTTTTGTCCGGGAAGAAGAAACCGTTTACTTTCTCGCCTAGTTTCAGTTTCCAGATGAGAAATCAACCCCTCTCTCGTGATTCACAGCATCATTCTATACCGAAACTGAATACTGCTTGTGTAGATACATCAGAAGTTCGTGCAGAATCAGCCGTCAAGACTGATCCCGATGCGGAAGCTCAGTTTAAAACACCGATTATAATGTGTAATTTATGACTCGAAGGAGCTTCTTCTCCTTATTCACGAGCATCTCCAGGCATCTGGTCTTTCCGATAGTGCGATGGCTTTGTTAAAGGAAGCCGAGTTATCGCCTTTGCCTTCCTTGGCTCCTCCTTCTTCTATTGCTTACTCTTCTACTCAAGAGACACTTATACCTGTGGCTCAGCAACAATGGCCCTCTGGTCGTGTTAATGGCGGATTTTTCTTTACCAGCAAGCCGAAAGTCGGTGCAAATGATGAAGAACCTGGTTCGAGATGCAATCCAGTTTTGTCCGGGAAGAAGAAACCGTTTACTTTCTCGCCTAGTTTCAGTTTCCAGATGAGAAATCAACCCCTCTCTCGTGATTCACAGCATCATTCTATACCGAAACTGAATACTGCTTGTGTAGATACATCAGAAGTTCGTGCAGAATCAGCCGTCAAGACTGATCCCGATGCGGAAGCTCAGTTTAAAACACCGATTATAATGTCAAGGAAACGGAAATTGTCTGAGCTGAAAGACTCGGGACTGTCTGTGTCTGGGAAGAGAATGAACACTGGTGAGTTGGGACCCCGATCCCCAGCTTGTGCAACACCCGTTTCTTTCCGCAGGAATTCACTCCTTGCAGATAGTGCGGGTTTCCTAACACCGGCTTCAACTTTGGATGCCAACCCGTCGGGGAATCCGAGAATGGGCCAGATGACTCCTGCTTCTCAGCAAAAGCTTCCCAATGATCCACAGCCTTCGAATCCTGAACGGTTAACCCTAGACTCTCTCGTGGTTCAGTACTTGAAGCATCAGCACAGGCAGTGCCCAGCTCCCATCACGACTCTTCCGCCTCTGTCTCTCCTGCATCCGCATGTCTGCCCGGAACCCAAACGGGCACTCGAAGCTCCACTAAACATCACGGGCCGACTCGGCACACGTGAACTCCAGAGTTTCTACGAAGGCGTTCATGGTAATCGTCGAGATCGTCAGTTTGTTTTCAGCAGGTTCAAGCCATGGAGAACCTGTCGGGATGAGATCAGTGCCCTCTTGACGTGTGTTACATTTCTCGGCGATTCTTCCCATATAGCAGTTGGTAGTCACTCTGGAGAGCTCAAGGTATTCGATTCTAACTCGGGAAATGTGCTCGAGAGTTGCTCTGGTCACCAGTCCCCGGTTACCATCGTCCAGTCATACATCTCGGGTGAGACGCAGTTGTTGCTTTCGTCGAGCTCCATGGATGTACGGCTCTGGGATGCGTCCTCGATCACCAGTGGACCTATGCATTCTGTCGAGGGATGCAAATCCGCGAGATTCAGCAATTCGGGTACACGGTTCGCTGCTCTTTCCTGCGAAGCCGCGAGAGAAATTCTTCTTTACGACGTTGGGACGTGCAAATTGGATATGAAACTGACCGACACATCAACCAGTTCGACTTCTCGAGGTCATGCCTATTCTCTCGTACACTTCAATCCTTCAGACTCGATGATTCTGTGGAATGGTTCACTGTGGGATCCGCGAGTTCCTGACCCTATACAACGCCTTGATCAATTCTCGGATTATGGTGGCGGTGGTTTTCATCCTTCCGGGAACGAGGTATTGAGAAATCTGTCATTCGTTTGCATCCGAAATCTGTTGCTTTATGTAACCTTTGTCTGAATGGTTTCCCCCAAAACTCTGTTGGTTTCGACAGGTGATAATAAACTCCGAGGTCTGGGATCTGAGGAACTACAGGCTTCTTCGAAGCGTACCGTCGCTTGACCAGACGACGATAACGTTCAATTCCAGGGGAGATGTCATATATGCGATACTGAGGCGAAACCTCGACGACGTGATGTCAGCCGTTCACATGCGTCGGGTGAAGCACCCGTTGTTTGCAGCTTTTCGAACTATCGATGCCGTCAACTACTCCGACATCGCCACCATACCTGTCGATCGTTGTGTCCTCGACTTCGCCATGGAACGGACGGACTCATTCGCCGGTTTGATCACAATGGACGACCAAGAAGAGATGCTTTCGTCGGCCAGGATCTACGAGATTGGCAGGAGACGACCGACGGACGACGACTCCGATCCGGACGATGCGGAGACAGAGGACGAAGACGAGGATGATGAAGACGACGAAGGCGACTTGGACCCGATTCTCGGGCCGGGCAGTGATGGCAGCAACAGCGGAGATGACGACGATGACGATATTAGCAGCGGAGACGAAGACGAGAGTGCGAGCGATTTGGAGGAGGAAGAGAGGCAGTTGCTGATGGGCGGTGGGGGTGGTTTGATCGAGATCTTCACTGGGGAAGACGACGAAAACGATGAAGACGACAACGAGGAAGATGATGAAGACATGTATGATTCCATGAGCAGTGGTGATGACTATGCCGGCAATGTCCTTCCTTTCTGAGATTCCCATTTCCCTTTCTGTTGCTTAAAAGTTTTGATAATAATGTAATTATTATTTTTAATATATTCCTCATCTTATTATTTATCATTATATGGTCTTCCGTCTTCGTGATGTCTCTGTGAACTGAGCTCCTAATTACCTGGATTGCATTTTGGTTTCCGATTCGATTTTTTTTTTTTTTGTATTTAGTTTTTTCGATTTTAACAAATCTATGTTTATTCAAGTTTTATGTTAGATTTGATTAAGTTTTGATTTGTATTCGGTTTTTAACTACAAAAATGTTTTTTTAAAGAAATTATGATTTTTAGTTATTTTTATTGATGAGGTTTGAATTTAGTTTTTCATCAATAAAAATATCATAATAATTAGGATTTTATTTTAGGTTTGATTATGATTACGTGTTCTTAAGTTTAGATATGTTCAATTTTATAAATAATCAACTCAGATTAACTGGAATATATATATATCTGTATATGTATATATATTAATTGGTTTTACCCTACAAGATAGGGCAGTTCTGAGGAAAAGGGCTGGGTTCTGCCTTGCAACTTACAAATAACACGAGCGGGCTCTGCGACTTGCGACTGTTGTATGCTCAACACTGTTATTTCTGAAAAGCGATTTAGCGGGCTCTGAAAACTCTGCGGATACCTGCGCTCTGCTTCCCAGACGATTTTCCGGCGACGAGCGACACCGGAGAGACGATATTTGAGAGGTGTTATTATGTTAAGGAAGATGACGGAAGAAGGAGAGGCATTGACATTTCCTATGATGAGGGAATCGGAGGCTGCTTCTCGACTCAAATCCACTGTTTCCTATTTGCTTCCTCAACTCTCCGACGATTACTCCGATGACGTCCTCGCTGTTAGTCCTCTCTCTCTCTTCTTCTTTTTCCTCGTCTTCTTCTCAAGAGATTTCCTAGTTTTTTTTTAATTGGACGGCTCTTTTACGTACTATTTTCTGCTTTTAGATGTATGATATAGTTGCGGATTCTTCGTGTCTCTCATTTTTGTTTATGATTTTTTCCTACGCGTTTGGTCTTAGCTCCGTGTGTTCCTTCTCCTTGTCGAAGGATTCTCTGCGATTTTTGCGGTTATTTTGATTGTTCTGTGAAAAAAAAATATTGTTGGAATTTACCGGCTGATGCTCGTGCATAAGGCCATGGTGAATAAGGATTTTTCTGAGCGTCTGGCTTGACTTGCGGGAGCTATATACGTGTGTGTAGATTTGTGTGTGTGTATATATATAAGCTCGTATAAATACCGAATGTATACACTTCGTATGCGCTGATTTTATCTTTGTTGCTCTGAAAATTTGATTTGAAGCTTGATATATCACTCCGACCCTTGTCATAGTGAGGAGACAAAGTTCGTGGTAAATGATATCATGGTCTTGTTTCAGGAGTACATCACAGTGCTTGTTTGTAATGGAAAGAGTCAGCGTCAGGCAAGAGAAGATTTGCAGGCATTTCTTGGGGATCAATCTGAAGGATTTGTTTCCTGGTTGGCTTTCTTCTAATGCCCTTCCCGTTACGTTGAATTATATATGCTCTTTGACAGGAATCAATGACACTGAGCAGCTACTACTATGCACCTTAAATAAATATTTTTGTTCATAGCTTATGGGAACTCCTCCGGAAGGAACTCTCTCGAGATGGACTGGAAAATTTTGCTTCTGACCCTATGGCTCCTGCTGAGTTTGGTGCCCATGATAATCTCATGAACAGACATTCAAACTCTGAAGGGACTAAGGACTATACGAACAACACCTTCAGTATTGCTACTGGTGTAAAGGTAACACTATGGCACATATCTCTTTTGTATATGTTAATGCGTGCTAGTTCTTGGGCAAGTTTTCAATGCGAACAGCTTTGTAGACGAATATCGAAAACACTTCAGTGATATATCATCGTAAGTAAAAGATATGAGGATATTACAACAGGGTCGCATTAATGGTTCTTCCAGAAGGCTGAAAGCAACAGAGAATGATGATTGGAATTCATCCCCTTCCATTTACTCAAGAAAGCTAAGCTCGATTGTGGTTTCAGGTTTTCAGCAACCAGGTGGTATGAATCCCGATAAATTTGAGAAGGTTGGAACATTTGACCCTTGGGTTGGTTTTTTAATGTTGCGAGCATTTTCTATAGCTAACATCGAAATTGCTTATCTAGAGCAGACTGCCCATCAAAGTAGTCGAGCTATGCAGCAGCCGTGCTTACCAAAAGAAGAAACGAATACTAAGTACTCTCAATCTATACAACCAGGTACAATTTATGTTGAATACAATTGAAACCCTATGATACTTAAAAATGACTTTTCATGATTAGGAATTTCACTTGAAGCTGATTTCCGCTCATAAAACAATTTCCAGTAGGGCTTGTCTCTGACGGATATTGTGATGCACCTTCTTATTGCAAAACGAAGCCTCGCATTAGTGTTTGGGATCGTTTGGGCTCCCTAAACTCTGATCTGTTCAAGGACTTAAAGAATCCTCGAATGCCTGAGACTGATATTCAGTCACATGAGAAGCAAATACCTCACGCGAATGGACCGGCGTTTCTTGCAGCTAATGGTGAACATTTCAAGAGATTTCAAAGAGAAGTTACTGCTGTTGGTAACAGGCATAAAAGCTTCCAATCTCACACAGCTAGGCAACTGGAGACTGGAATTATTACGTGCAATGGACCTCCTATGGCCCATAACCGCACTAGTAAGAGGCGGTATGGGGACATATGCTCTAATGCCGGTGATGATTCAGTCAATCAGGTTAGTAGAGTTCTCCACAGAGAACCATCACAGGATATCGAGAGGCCCAAGTCACTTTCCTATCTATCTGCGAAGTCAGATCTTCTCTCGGTATGTCCTGTGCCATATGAATGCTGCCATTGGTTTTTCTTTGGATTCCTTGCATCTTGAAAGATTGTTTTTTATTCTTCCATTAGGAAATACTGAACACAAAGAAAAAACTGCTTCAAATTGAAATGCGAATTCTTCAATCAAAACAGCTGAAGAAACAAAAAGTCGGAGCATTGCCATCAGAGTCTGGTAAGGCAAATCTACCACTTCAAAGTGCTGTCTAGAAAACTTGATCGTTGGAAGCTGCAGGCAATTGTCTTCATCTTAGTCATTAAAAGCAAAAATCCAAATGTCAAATGATGACTAACTGCAATTAGTTCTTGTGTCTTGTTACAAACTGATATTGGCCATGGAACATGAGAAATAATCAAATGGATTTCTAGTTACTTTCGATTCAAGTGTTCATGGTTGAGCGTTACTCGACTCATTAGGATGTGATGGAAGGAAAATCATTACAGAAATAAAGGTTAAGAAGGTAGTCACTGTGTATCAGATACAGAAGTGCTTAATATGACATGTGGGAATATGATATACCGCTTGATTAGTAGAGATTTAAGGTTCCGGCATTGATTATTTGTTCTATTCTATGAGAGAGATGCTGCTACTTTTGGCCTTCCACTTAAAAAGCCATTAATTGGTTAGGGATCTTGGTAAAATACCTTCTCTTTCTAGTCCTGACCTTGCTGCTTGCCAAAGAAACAGTATATCGTAATGCGGATCTTTTAAGCTCATTGAGAAGTAGCCGCGATTAAGCTTTTGTATGTGTCAGAATTAGTTTTTTCCTGCTTGTAGTCGTGCTAGTTTTCCTGTTTCGCTTACCTAGAGGACCAGTATCTTTCATAATTTATCGGTTCAGTAATTATATTGTGCAGGTGAATTGCAGGCTCGACAAGATGACGTGGAGTCAAAATCTATCCATGTTACAAATGTAATAATCTTTTCCATTCTCTCTTGTCTTTCAGCGTTTTACCTCCAACTCCTGTTTCAAACTTTTTCACTTGCATGGTACAAAAATCTTTACCCAATTCACCGGTCGCCCCATTTCAATGTATTGAGCCATTGGCATTCATCTCCATGCTAAGCCTATATTTTGTTACTCTACTGAAGTGACCTTCCACACATGATCCTTAACAGTCACAGTTAAGTTTCGGTCTAATTCTCTCGAACTTTGATGTGTCCCAGATTTCTCTATTGGAAGGTCTGATTGTTAATGTGGTACCCTTTGAATATGTTTAAGGAATCTGATGGTTATATGCAGCATTTATTTTCACTGGACAGAAGAAACATCTAGAATACATGAAATATTTTCCCCCATGAACTGTCAGGTACATTTTGCAGCAACTGAAGAAGCTATATCAGTGTTCTTCGCCAAGTGTGGAGCTGTTGAAAATGTTGTTATTGTAACTAACCCGGAAAGTTTGAAGCCAATAGGGTAATTGTTTTCTTCAACCCGTAATCCGTTGTTTGTTTTTCTAGAGATTTCGCAGATTCATTAAACAAGATATTTGTCCTTACTTTAGTTGCTTTAAGGGAGATCTCTAATGTCTAAAAGCTCCTTCTCTAGGGCTGCTTTCGTTACTTTTGCAAGCAAGGAGTCAGTTGACAGAGCAATATTGCTGAGTGGTAGTGCATTCTATTCAAGGACAGTGAAGGTACGGTTTGTTTCCTCTTAAACATTAATCATTTCAACAGCCGAGATCTTCATTGGTCCTTGCTTATTGTTATTTCTCCATATATATATATATAACCCAATTGATATATGCTGCAACAATAAGATTCGTCACGTGAGAGACATTTTCTAGAGTTCAACATTTGTTGGCGTCAAACTCACTCACAGTGCAATCTGTCTATGGCATATCAACTTTTCCATATAGTCCAGGTCATGAGGTCAGCAGATGTAACTGCCGGAACAGAAACGTTGACCAAGACCAACAGAAGCAGCCTCTCAGGACCACCATTCAACCGCAGGAGCCGTCATCTACAATGGCTCCGTGACTCCGACTCCACTCCTTCCCCATCAGAAGCACTGTTTTACTGAAACACAGTCACCGCCCCAGAGGAATCTTCTTGTTCCTCACCCCCTCGGATATCTTCTTCCTTGGAGCCGGCGATTTCGATTTGGACTGTACAGCTTAACTCAGGAACCGTAGTAAATACGCAGAAGCGGCAGAATAGAGCATGAAGAGTTGGTGACAAACACTTGTACAAGTTTTTTCCTTCACGTCTACTGCTCCCAATTCATTTTTGACGTCGTTTTTAATTGAGTTTTGCAGCTCTAAAACGGTACCGGGTATATCTCTCGATATTATACATTGGTATTGGGTTCCACTCTCCACATCCTTTTATACTGTCATTGCTTGAGAAAACATAACCAGCTAAACTGATCTTGATGTTGATATGAAAAAGTGTTTAGGGGATGAGTTTACGAGGCGATGAATACGTACAGCAGTTACAAGTGAAGTGCAGGAGACAGAGAAAGACGGTACTACACATCAAAAGCTACTCTACCACAAAAACGGAAACCAAAACACTTCGGACGCACAATCCTAACGTACGATTTCTTCTCTCTCCCTCTTTTTTTTTTCTTAATACAAAAATCTAAAAGGTGTTACTTCTCGTCTTATCTCGGGAACGACATGCATTCATGAACACAAAATTAATCTCAATCCATTCTTCTCGTCCTATCGGTTAGCCCATGCAATATCTGAAACGGGCTTTCCGCACTGTCGTCATCACTACCTCAGTTTCAGCGGCTTCGAGCATTTTCACCATCTCAGGAAACGACGGGCGAACCTCGGGATTGGAGTCCCGGCAGCGGGTCATGATCTCGCTCAGTACAGGGATGCAATCCCTCGGGATGGTCGGACGTACACCCCTGTTCACCACCGCAAACGCCGCTTGTACTGCTGCCATGTTTCGGAACGGTAAAAGACCTGCGATTAGCTCCCACAGAACAATTCCAAAACTATACGCGTCCACTTTCTGGGTGTAACGCCTATTCTGGATCATTTCTCTGCAACTGTAAAGAGGGCAAGAGATTACGAGAGATACAGATAATAGAGGACACGGCAAAAAAAGATGAGCTCTGAATATAGCAGTGCTTGAAAATCGCAGAAAAAACAAGAAATGATAGATCTGTTTCTACTTACTGTGCCATCCATCGATAAGTCCCGGACTCTGGTATCATATCTTCGGGCTTGACCTCAATTCGCGCGACGCCAAGTATGCAATATTGATGGAGCTATCAGCGGCTATCAGACTTCAAATCCCGGTGAGTAAAGTTAGGTCCGTGCGCAAATGCCATGCCCCTGGCAACGTCTAGATTTATTTTGCCTCTTCGTCAGGAAATGCCTAACCGAACCTCCCTTGGCATACTCCGTCACGATGCACCAAACCATCGGCTTTCGAGACGCACCGATATACCTAACGATGTTTGGGTGCTTCGAATCGAAACCTCATGCCGAAACTGCTGTTCCCATGGTCTGTGCCTTTTTCCGGCCTCTCAGAGTATTTTAACCCAAACCCTTTCTTCTATTTCACGCATACATACATACATAAATACATCACAATCGTAAGACCCAAATATCATATAATTTCTAATAAGGAAATTCAATTATAACCTCATAAAGCAAAGGCTCCGATATTACATTGTCATTAAGTGACATGAAAAGAGTGTCAAAGCTCTTCTTATATGAATCACAGAGAGCCTCCCACATAACTGCTTCAATCCCACTGTATTCTTCAACTCGGAACAACAAAACGACAAAATACCCAAACACAACCACATACACGCATACATACACACATACATATATATATATATATATATATATATATATATATATAACACATACGCAAAGCTTTTTCCTCTGGATTCTATCCCTCATAATGGGTTTTGTTTCTTCATCTTCCTTCTCGTGTGTTCTTCTCTGGACTCAGTCAATTGTCATCGGTTGAACACAACACCTAAACCTGGCCTTACGTACAGTGGTGAGTATCTCGGTCTCAGCACGTTCGAGCATCGTCACAATCTCCGTGAACGGTGGACGGACTTCCGGGTCAGCGTCCCAGCAACGAGCCATGATGTCGCTAAGCACTGGAAGGCACTCGTTAGGGATCGGCGGGCTTACCCCTCTGTTCACCGAACTCTCTCGAGATGGACTGGA